GGGGGGGGTTGGTCGTCCAAGCCAAGCCCTCACGGAAGTTGTTTCCAGTGAGGAGATCGAATCAGCAAGTCCTCGCTCGATAGATCGAAAATGGCTGGGCACTCGATAAGCGCAGACGCCCGCGGGCGCTCACTCGGCGTGGGATCTGGGCTGCATCGACAGGCTGGCTGGCTTGGGCGAAGGAAGAGGAACGAGCCATGTAGGTAGGTGTAGCTCGCTCGTTTGCTCGCTCGCTGGCCAGCCCGTGGATCTGCTCTGCAAGTGCCACCACCAGTCAACGAGTCCCAGCGCCAAGGGGAACAATTTTTGCCGCTGAAATTGTGGATACATGGACCCTAGCGATATACCATTTCACTAGGTCTGCTACGGCTAGACTTCCTGAACCGGCGCCCAGTTAGTCCATACTTTGCAGATTTTCATTGGCTGAATATTTCTTAGCATCTGATCCGCCACAACTCAGTCACTGTAGTACTGCGCCGAGCCCCAAAAGTCCAGACCGTCGCCTTGTTTTTCGTCTGGCAAGGTCATTTTGGTCTTTTGACTGAACTGTCTCGACTTGCCGAGACAAGGGAGCACGCGCATGCACATTCACAATGTCTCGTCGTACCTAGTAGTAGAAGTAGAGGCAGCCTGCCTTTTTCCCTTAGTTGGTCAATACGAAACTACCATATAAAGGTGTTAGTGTAGCAGCCTGAAAAGCAAATAATCGTGCTCCGGTCTCCGACTCCGCGCGCAACAAACTCGCAGAGCTTCAAGCAGAGCTCTAGCTGTACTGGACCCTGGCCTTCATTGCAACGGGTCCCCGAAAAAAAGAAATTGGGTCATCAGCGCACAAGACACCCCAGCTCTGAAAAGAACAGTCTGAGAAGCGTAGGAAAAAATCATCTCCCCATATCGTAACGGTCTGGACGTTAATGCCGTCACCGAGCCTCCACATCCGCTACTCGCCCTCTGCTTCCTCCTCAGCTGCAGTCCTCAACTCATACGCAAGATCATAACATTCCGCGAGAAGATCGTTCACACTGCCTTGTCCCTCTGGGATATCATTGCCAATTTGGAACTTCCCATCAACCCGCATGTTGTCAATAGAGTTGAGCTTCATGCTGTAAGGATACAATTCTCGGGGATTGGAAACACCCCCCGCCTTCTTGACCTCGACCAGACATTTCCGCAAAGTGAGAAGCTGGTTGTATATAGGAAGTAGCGCTTCCGAAACCGGCTCGGATGCGATCAGCAACTGATAAATGTACGCATATCCTCGCCGGATCAGGTAGAGCAACGTCTGTCAATGCGGGTCAGTAACTGTGGCCGATTCACATATGGAAATCTTACTCTTTGTGCGTGTAGGTCCGCAGGGTGGCCTTCGGCGTCGAAGAAATTCCCATCTCGTCTCGAATCGTCAATGCGATCCAACTTCCTCTGCCACATAAACAAGTCGGTTTCGCGGAGGGACCAAGCTTGGGTCATGGTCAGTCGATCGAGCTGATTGCGGATTTCCAGGAGTTGATCATAAATATCTTGGAATCTCTCGTCTATCTTGCCTTGCCTGGTCCGAAGAGGTTAGCCGACAAAATCCAAAAGGAAAATGGGCACAAGCAACTTACTTTTGTTCGACTATGTCAGTGAATTTGAGGCACCTTTCAAGCAGAGGTACCACCAAGTCTTGCCCGCCCTTGACTTCCCCTTGTTCACTCGGGAGTTTTCCATCCTTCATGGTTGCTTGGATCTGCAGAAGCTGCTCCCGCAGTTCGTTCAAATCTTTCTGGCTGAACTACACAAGATTTAGTATAGAAATGTGACAGAGTTCGATTTGAGGAAGTACCTTGCTCCTGGTGTTCAAGGCCGCAATAGCTCGGAGAATAGAGACCAGTTTCTCCCAAATTGGGGTCATTTCCGGTGAGAGTGTAGAAAGGAAGTTGCGCAGTTCCTGCAGCATTTCCCGGCAAACCTCCAGGCGATATTGGATGCGCGTCAATAAGTGATTGGAGTACTTCTCCTTGCCGTGGTCGAGAGTGATCTGCATCTTCTCAAGTGTGTGTTCCAAACTGGTCAAGTCTCTCTTGCTATAAAACGCAGCTTCTTTGAGGTGTTGACACAGGCGCGTGATGTTTCCGGTCATGGCGTAGAGCGCAGGCGCTTCGTTGTTCCGTCCCACCGCCATAAAGAAGAGGGACACAAGTTGAAGACAGTCATCCAGGACGGTGTCGACTCGGTTTTGCAGTAAAATTTCCGGACCTCGGACAGAGTTGAGGATCGAGACTTGCTCAATGACCTGCTCATACAAGGGAAGGACATCGGAGGATTTGACATAGGTGCTTTTGTCTTGCTTGAGGAGGAGCAACTTGTCTCTGATCAGGAGCAGCTTGTCCAGGATCGGTTTCTCTTGAGGCCCGACGGGCGCAGTTGTAATGGGTGAATCAGACATGGTCGGTGGTGTTCATCAGAGGCAAATTTTGGTAATCTGGGGGAGGGGCAGCAGTACAACCGGCGCAGCGGGCACGCACGAGAGGTGTCTGTGGGCAAGAGTCGTCGTGAAGGTCAGGCGTCGCGGACAAAGTGTGTCGTGAAACAAGAAGCGAGTCGGCTTCAATTTTGCCGTCGACAGCAATTCAGTTTGACAGTGGGCAGTGATTGAGTTGTGCCTGCGCATACAGGTACATGCAGTGGATTTGGTGGGATGCACAGGCACGGGCACAGCATGATATTGGAAATGGTGGGCATGCGGTCATTCAGCTGCTTAGAGAGAAACTTGCCCCGCGCGGCTCGCACTGGCAGCAAAATGCTGGCTAATCAGAGGGCCCAGCGAAAGCCCCAGAGAACTCACGACCCCCGGCCGTCCCGGGCTAGCCTAAGGCACTGGAGGACGCCTGGACGCCCATGTGAAGCACCTACAAGTAGAAACCTAGAGAACTAACTGGGGGAGCCACCAGGGGTTCCCCTCGCCTTGGCATTTGGACTTTCCAGCCCGATCCGCGCCCCACCTTGTTACGATCCAAAGTCGCAGCCCCGAATCCCACCGACGAAGAAAGTCCGTGATCCTCTGGTGCGCCAGCCTTGTCTACAATACATGTCTTTGCTACTTGAATTGAAGGTCTGAAGCTTTGATCCCTCCTTGTTCTCACCACCATACATTCTGTCTCCACGGTATCGTATCCCAGAAGCGCACCTTTCGGCCGCATACTCCGGCAGCCATACAATCCCGCCACGCACTGTACATCAGGATCGCCATACTCTGACCTTCACTAGTCTGATTGACGGGGCTTGTACTTGGGACGTGGTCGACATCTGCCACGGGATCAACACTGCCGTCTTGGTTGATATGCTGGGCTACGGCATGACGGTTCAATTCAGCCCAGTCAAGAAAGCGCGGTCTTCCATAGACCTCTGGTAAGAGCACTGCCAGTCTATAGACTGCGGAGGCCATCAGCGCAGTGCCCGCAGCATCTCCATAAGCCCAGAGAGAAGACCGATGAGATGGCCCGTCCAGATAGTTCTTCAGAAGACCAGACTTCTCATCTCGACTCTGGGCCATGGTACACTTCAGCATATCGTCAATGATACCTGTCAGTGCCTTTGTGCTCCGGACCCTGAACTCAAGGTATTGGAGCCTCTCGATTGCACTGTTTGAAGGAGGCTGCCACCTCAAGATCGTGGCCAAGACCCGAGCCATTCCTGCTACAGCCCATGCATTGCTAGTAAGCCATACATTTGGGTCTGTACAGCAGATTCCGGGCTCCAGCTGTGAGGGCTCTGAGACAATATGCCTCCATAGGCCATGACAATTCTGTCCATCTTGTAGCGAGATACTCGTCCTCAGAACGACGTTGTAAAGCTGACATTGCTGCACAGATGTTTTTAAGATCTCCATGTCCTGGAAAGCCACACCATAGTATGCAAGGAATGGAGGCACCATATAGACGAAATCACCCCAGAGTTCAGGAGGCTCCTCGCGGTGTGAGATGGGTGACGACATGAGATGACCGTTGAACCGTGTGGCTTTTGTCATGAGGTAGTTTGCCTGCCGCTTTGCAGCGTCGAGGTAGGTCCCATTGTGGTGGGATAGAAGTAAGGCGGCTGTTCCAAGAGACGCAGAATCCGCTGCTGAGCCTGTCCCCTTGTGAGTCTGAGGGATCCAGGCCATAGTCAGAGCCAACTCCGTCGCCCATATTGACCAATAGGAACCGATTACAACTTACCTTCGCCGTCGACCAGTAGATCTGAGCCATTGGTCCATATCACGCCTCTGGCAAAGGCAAGACCTTCGACTTTGGAGGGATCAGGGATCCTGGGTATCTGTCCTTGCGGAAATGGATGGGACCCAAAGACAGTCAAGTCGCCGTCATAGAACTCAAGAAGAGCTTCAGTCAGCGTTCCAAACTCCCAGGACCGTGAAGTGAGGGCGTAGGCCTTCGCAAGAACCGGTTGCGGCTCAAAGCCTGCGTCTGGTGGGGAAAGAGGAGTCCAGATGATAACCGCCATGACAGCCACAGCCAGACTTGCTACATAGTACTTCATGTTGTCGCTCTTATCCAAAGATCCAGGACATCACTTCTGAGGGATAGGGTGAAACGAACGAAATCCGAGTTTCGAGCGCGACAATATCAGGCTAAATGTGCGTTGATGTGATGACGCAGCTTTACGGTTTGTTACAATGGTATAGGCACTTACAACAGGTACTACGGCCTGGCTCCAATTCTACCTCGGATTTCTAGCACGGATGAGAGAGGAAAAGGAGACAAGTTGAAACACCATGGCAAAATGAGTTTCGTCTCACGCGGTAGAGATGCCTAGATGAACCGAGACTCTTGTCAAGGGCGCTCATAAACTCTCTCGCCTTCAAACCAAGTGCCCAGGACCTGAGCTCCATCGAATTCACCTTTGCTCAGGTCACGGTCGATCATTATGAAGTTGGCTTTCTTTCCAACCTCAATGGTTCCAGTCTTGTCTTCTCGGCCCGTTGCTATCGCACCTGCGACTGTTAGCATCTTACAGATTGCTTCGGCAGCTGTAATTGTCACGGCCTCTGTTGCTGGCAGCGCAGCTGCGACGCTGTCCGCAATCAGAGCGCAAGCAGGTAGGAGGGACGGGTCTTGGAAGGCCCAGTCACTTCCAATCGTCAGATGAGCTCCGTTTTTGATCATCTTCCCCCAACTCCAGTCCATCAGGCCATTGGACATGGTGGTGAGCGGATGAACAAAGAACGTTGAGGGAGACATCTCGGCGGTGACATTGAGCTGCCGGAAGCGTGGATAATCATCTGCCTGCATTAGCAGTCTTCTCACCAATCCCAGATATGGGACATACCATCATGCACACCGCTGCAATGCGCAATTTCATGCCTTGGCCCTTGACTATTGGTCTTCCTTACAGCCTCGTACACATCCAAGGCTCGACGTGTACTGCCAAATCCTGTGCAGTGGATCTTACATGTCATGCCCCTCGCATCCATCTTCGAGACGGCTTCGGCCAGGTCGTCGATCTGTATCTTGCTCTCGTCAATCGCTCCAGACTCGGTGAGACCGGCGTGCGTGTAGTACGGATGCAGCGGGACACCATCCAGCATGAATTTGACGAAATTGGTCTGGACATGTTGAGACCGTAAACTGTCCGCCTGATCAAGCGTCTTGTGCAGGGTTTCGAGACATTCTTCCGCAAGCTGCTCTGGCTTGTATACGATGTGCGTTTGCACATCCACTTTCAGCTCCCCAGTAGCATCGAGCTCCCCTAGTGCTTTGAGAATGAGCGTATTCGACGCCGCTTCTTGGAAACTGGTCACTCCTACCGAGTGAAGCAGCTTCACTGCGTGCAGAATACTGCGTTTGATGTGTGCCATTTCTGGTTTCGGCATCGCGAGTGCCGCCTTGGTCATGGCTAGCTCGGTCATTTCACCAGTCAAGGTGCCATCTGCGCGGCGGAAGAAATGGCTGTGTGGCCCGTCAGGTTCTGTGAGGCTGTATCCCGATCTCTCCAGAGCGGCGGTATTGAGGAACATTGCATGACCTGCCCCTCCCCGCAAAAGGACTGGAGTATCGGGGAATTCACGGTCGAGGGCTTCTCGATCGAAATCCTCAATGCGGTAGAGGTCACCAACTATCCAGTCTCCATATGCATGGGCGTGTTCACAGGCGCACGATGGCGACTTGAGCCTCTCGGCGATGTTGGACGTGGTGACGTCGAACCCTGGCTTCAGATTGGAGAGACGAGAGAGCCCTGCGACAAGAATATGGACATGGGCATCGTGAATACCCGGCATCACAAAGCGCGACTGTAGGTCAAATGTGGGAAGATTCTCGCGGCGTGCGATGTCTAGAATGTCACTGTTGGTTCCGACGGCCGTAAACTCGCCGCTTGCTGAGACTATGAATGCCTCGACGCGGTCTCCATGATTGCTTGCCGTGAAGATGTTGCCAGAGTGGTATGCCACAGGTCCTTTATCTTTTGCTGCCATGGTCTGGACCTAGATGCGGGCTACTGCTGCCACAAGATCAAAGAGTGGGAGGATCGGTGTTGCAACAGACCCGTTTTATGGGTATAAATGGGCTTGACGTGTCCTCGAGGTGCGATAGATGGATAGATTTCTACTCAGTAGAGATATGAAGTTTGGACTTGGACCATAGCGACAGGTACAGAAGCCATGGCATTTTATCTGGACTTTGAGGAGAGATGTCAGCATTTATTGTTTAGGCGTTCCGCAGAGCAGTGAGATATATCTACCTATCTGCTCCCACTCGGTACATGTTCCGAGTTGCAACGGTCTCTTTGTCTCGAAGAAGCGAGCCCCGAAGTCGTCAAAAGTCGTCAGCTTGTTCTTGGCCTCGACCATCTAATATGCGGTGAAGGAGGTAGATGGTCAGCAGAAAGTGAGTGATGGCACAAATCTCCCGATCTGGTTGTGGGTGTTGAATGTTACGTTGTACTGGTAGAGTCCTGGAAAGTCTCTCGCAGCCGAGAAGAGCTGAGGGGTTTGGGTACTGGTATCCAGGTAGTCGCTTCAAGGTACTTGAAACCTCGTACTTGTACCTGTTGTACCTGTTGCACTTGTACATGTACCTCGCAAAGGGACGGAGCGTTTCCTTTTCGGGGTGTAACACAAGGCTGCAGCTTCGCAATGTTGCATCACGTCTTTCACTTGGTAATTCCTTCTGCATATGTCTCAAGTCTCTGCTGTTCTTCCTCAAACTGATTCGCCCATCTTCACCGGAATGCCTCGTGGGCATATCCCTTGATGAATACCTGACGAGATTGTCCTATAAGCCTCGCCAAAGCTGTCCGAACAGACACGAGATCCATTCTAATCCGGCTCATCACAAAATCCTTCGACTGCTCACCTCCAAGGCATCTAAATGCCTGCAGCACTACAGCCTCATCAAGATGATGCGCGAGGCAACGACACTTGAGGTCTGCTGGTATCTATCGCCACCGCAAGGTTTTCTACGAGTAACTAAGGATGATAAATAGCTGGATGTTGCCATACTGCCAAGTGAGAAGAAAAATTTGAGATACATGCCATGCAACTAGGCAGGGAGCGCTAAGCGACTGGCCCGCGGGCTCAGCAGATCCCAGGTCGTCCATATGGGCGGGAACACGGGCATCTGAGTAAAGTGTGGCGCAGGCTATCTCATGGTTCCCCGGTAGTTCAGGCATGCCAGGCTCAAACTCGAAGCTAAGCACCTCAACCTACTCCCTCCTCCGTATCATAAGCGACGATCATGGCTTAGGTCTTCAAAGGTCTCACCTCCTCGAGCAATCATGGCGGCTCCAGTTCGATGCCAATCCCCATCATGAAACGGGATGAGCTTTTTGCACCGACTACCTAATTGGCCTATGGCCCGTGCCCACTGTGGCAGATGGCGACTACAATTGCCTTTCTTCACTCTACCGTTGCAGGAAACGAGACTTCCCGAAAGGAAAAATACCCCAAATTCGATGCCATCATGGACCACACTTTCCTTGTTTCTCAGCAAAGCCTGAAAGATGGGAGTCTCTTACTCTCTCGCCTTTTCGCTTTTGCCAATCATCGCTGCGGTGCTGTTTTTTCCATCCTTGGAAAGCAATTCCATTTGTTTCCTTTCGGATTTTTAAGGTGCACTGCTTTTTACCGCAATTGGACAATCGTGTTGAGCATTGGGGAGTGGCCAGTGCGCCTCCGGCTTCCGACTCAGGCCATGATTATTGGAAATGTCGAGGCTTGGTGAAAGTGTTTCCCGAAAATGGATTCGGGAGAATCGTTAATTCACCCTAACCCGCAGTCTCGTTGTTGGACACTGGAACAGCTGGGTATATCGTCTATTATCGACCAAGACGGTAAAGAGCAGTTGTTGATCCAACTTGACTCGAATGCATCAGACAAACACCTCCAGTCTTCTGAAGCAATTTTGGACAGGTCAACGGGTCGTTGGACACCGTGTACACCTCGTACACCTCGAATTGCGCGTTCAAAGCCCGAGCTACCACAGCGCCCGTCACGCTGTTCATTGAATGAAGAACCAGACACTAAGAGTTGGACAAGCCATCTCCCCCGTAATGAAAATGTACACTGGTTCTTGACCAGCGTGGACTGGAATTCGACCGATTTTGGGCCTTTGGACACCTGGCCAATTTCTCTAAGGACGGTCGTCAGTCTTGTACTGGCTGATAACTCGCCCGCCGTTGTCTACTGGGGGCCTTCTTTTTCTGCTTGCTTCAATTTAACGGCATACAACGACGTGTGCCAGAGGCTCAACACTCAGTCCGAAATACAAGGAAAACCTTTCAAGGACATATGGGAACAATCATGGTCGACCTTGGAAAGCTTTTATAGGGTGATGCAAGACAACAGTCGCACCATGAAGAGCATGGAGCTGACCTTGTTTCCCCAACAGCCTAACGGGCGTCTTGAAGAGAGTTTTTGGAACGGAACCCTACTGCCTATCCTCGATGAGCAGGGCAAAGTAAACGGCTTTTACAACCGGGCAACCGAGATTACCAATGAAAAGGTGAGGGAAAGGAGGTCGAAGATGCTTTACTCAATCAGCGCACCGCCAACAGATCCGAATGGGTCGGTTTGGGAGCATCTTTTCCAAGCCTTGAAAGAGAACCCACATGACTTCCCCATGGCTTTCGCATACTCGGCTGAAGATGATACCTCATCTTGCAAGCTGACTTTACAACAATCGTTGGGATTACCGCCAGGTGGACATCCTCTGGTTCCCAAGTACGTGGATATTTACGAAGGGTCCGCAGGATTTCTATTCTATTATCGCCGATTGAAAGCCACAAATAAACCGATTATACTCCATCATCTGGACAACACCCTCCCTAGAAAATTCCTGGAAGGGTTCGATTGGCGTGGCTACGGTGATACCCCAATATCCATGGCACTGATACCTGTTTCTGTCAGCAGCAGACTGCTGGGTGTGGTCGTGTTTGGCCTCAATCCGAGGAGAAACTATCAGAAAGAAGATGAAGCTTTCATACAATCCTTGTGTCGACAAGCATCTGCCACCATTGCCTTTGCTGTCGACCGTGAAGAAGCATATGAGCGCGCTGAAAGACTCACTCTACAGCTTCAAGAAAGGGAGCGGCAGATCAGAGAGATTGCTGAACATGGCCCAGTGGGTATGATTCGTCTTACTCCTGCCGGAAATATCATATGGGCCAATCGACGTGAGTATTCTGCTTTTCAAAAGATCATCGTGAATGCCACCTCGTATCCAAGTCGTCGTTTTGTTCGCTCTGTGAACTTGCAATATACGCTTACAGATATCCACAGAGTACTACGAGATGACTGGTCACTCCCTCGAAGACAGATACGAGTTTTCTTTCCTTGAGCCTCTCCATCCCAGTGAAAAAGACCATATGATGGGAGTGTGGCACGAACTGCTCAAGGATCTTCAGCCCGTCAGCCAGGAGCTGCGACTACGAAAAACGTGGCAGCCTCCAGCTACTGCTGGAAATCCATGTCCGAGCGAAGAATCTTGTTGGTTGATGCTACATGCATTCCCAACTCTCGAGGATGGAAAGGTCAAAAGCATTGTCTGCTGTGTCACAGACATTAGCAAAACCAAGTGGACAGAAGAAGTTCAGAGTCGCCTGGCTCTCGAGGCAACCGAGGCACGAAAGTTACAAGAGGCATTCATTGATTTCGTGTCTCACGAGATGAGGAATCCTCTGGGGGCAATTACCCAGCTTGCAGATGGGATTGCTGCGTCTCTAGACGACTGGACTTCGTCAGATCGGTCACCAGAGGCCACACACCAGCTGCTCAAGGATAATGTCGAATATGCAAAGACAATATTGCTGTGTGCTTCACACCAGAAACGTATTGTCGATGATGTTCTAACACTGTCAAAATTGGACTCTCAGCTTCTCTCCATCACCCCAGTTGTGACCAAACCACATGTTGTGGTCGAGTCGGTGTTGACCATGTTTCGAGCAGAGTTTAATACACATTCGATCACTGTTGAAAGCGCTGCAGACGACACATTGGAGCGATACAACGTCGACTGGGTTTGTGTAGATCCAGTGCGGCTGACGCAGATATTCATCAACCTCTTAACAAATGCAATCAAATTCACAAAACTCGAAGCTGTCCGCAAAATCACTATCCGACGATCAGTTTTCATCGGCCAGCCGCCGCACATGGACAATATCGTTTGGTTTCCTGCGAAGAAACAGAAGCGTCCACCTATACAGTTTCCTCAGTGGGCAGAAGGCGAGCCGGTAAATCTACTTTTCTCGGTCTCGGATACAGGCAGGGGCTTGGAACAGGAGGAGATGGCTCGACTATTCCATAGATTTCAGCAAGGGACGAAGAAGACGCATATCAAATATGGTGGCTCTGGTCTTGGGCTTTTCATCTCTCGCGAACTTACCGAAAACATGGGAGGCGAAATTGGAGTGATCACTGAAAGGGGCAAAGGCAGCACTTTTGCATTCTACGTACAAGCACGCCGAGCAGCCGCTCCTGACGACGATGTGCGGGTGCCCCAAGCTCCAGACTCATCATCGATGCCGCGGCGTACGTCTACCGCTCTCAAGGCGGACATTCCGGTTAGAGGATCTCCCAGCATCACTCCAACCGAGCGGCCGCCTTCTGTGCTTCTTGTTGAAGACAACATCATCAATGCGCAGGTCCTCACCAAACAGCTCGAAAGGGGAGGTTGCACAGTTTACAATGCGAATCACGGAATTGAGGCCCTGGATTTCCTCCCCCGAACAAGGGCGTGGCACGATTATCGACCGATCCAAATGGTCGAGACTCCTTCATCCAACCTGGACGTTGATATCGATTGCATATTGATGGACGTGGAGATGCCGGTGTTGGACGGCTTAACGTGTACCAAGCGCATACGGGAGCTGGAGCGAAAGGGAAAGTTGAGGCGACATATCCACATCATTGCGATCACCGCGAACGCCCGGGCAGAGCAGATTGATGCGGCTTTTGAGGCAGGTGTCGATGACATCCTCCCCAAGCCATTCCGCGTCGTGGAACTGCTGGAGAAAATCGAGAACAACAGGAAGAAGGGCAAAATTCCGATCGATGGTGAATAGAACATGCAATTTCGAGACCAGCTTTGGCGTTCCAGGGTGGTACCCAGCCTACCATCGGACTCTCAATATCAGTCTATCAAAATTGGAGGTGATGGATTTGCGAGGGAAGCAGAGAGACTATACAATGACACGTTGTCGGATCCCTACAGAACCTGCTTCTACCGGCCACCGTCTCAATCATTCGGACTGTGGATTTGACGACGAAGGGTCGGAAGATTGGGGAGTTGGGCCAAAGTGCCTCCACAAGGTCTGTATCCAAAAGATTGTCTCCAACGTCCCAAACACCATCAGAGAAGCGATCACAGTGATCTTGACGGCGCGAGAGGCACCCAGATGTGATAAGCTGAACGAAGGGTAAGAAGGGTTCGGCCGACTTTGACTCGATTGAGACGTCTTGGTGTTGGGATTGGGTGGCTGCTCAGTGTGGGTGGATGATGATGCTGGGCGGCTGAATTGTTGTCGCAGTTCGGTAAAGTTCTGGAGTGGCTGAGATGGTAGTCCGAGGTCGAGTGTCGATAGTCCAGGCTTGAGACGCAGCCTTGACAAGACGAGAGGAGAAGGTGTTAAAAGTACTGGCATTGCTGATTGAAAAACGACTTTCTTAGGTGGATGTAGGGCCATTTGCTTTTGGGAGATGTTGGGTGCTGGACGCAGGAAAGGCTGGAGCGCAGGGCGGCAGCGGTGATGATATATTTGTTCTCGAGACGGACTGCCTCCATGGCACTGATACCCCTGGGTTTTGTGATCCGCATGATGAAATCGTGCTTGGTCTCGGGTGTGAGACTGTGAAGAGGAACTGCGGTATAAACTACACTAATTGATTCGTTGCCTGCGATGTGGCGGCACCAGCGGCGACTCCACCTCGTGATCGTGATCGTATTCGTACCTTTTGTTTTCGTTCCCCAGCGACTTGATGCTTGGTTTACCTCGTACACGATCCTCTTTCCCACTTCCACACCCACCCCAGTCAGTCAGTCAGCGCCATTTCCCTTGACTGTGCCTCCTCTTCTGTTTCGTTATCGAGCAATCGAAAAGGCTCCCTTCCCCTGATGCCTCCACGACGCTCGCATCAAAAGTCGCGCCGAGGTTGCCTAACCTGCAAACGGGCCCATGTCAAATGCACCCAGACGGGACCCCCTTGTGGCCGCTGCAAACTTAGGGGAACAGCATGCGAGTACCTCTATGCGAGTCCAGACTCTAACAGCCTTGCACAGGCGCAAGATCCGCCATTATTGGATCGTGGGGCTCCGGTGGCGGCAACGGAAGAGGAACCGCCGCCGCCGTTCCCGAATGAGGCTGGCTTGCTGGACCTCCAGCTCATGCATCGCTGGTCGACGGTGACTTACAAGAGCCTGTGCAGCAAGGTGGCCGAGGATGATTATATCTGGCAGATCGCCGTGCCGCGGTGGTCGCTGCAGCACGATTTCCTCCGCGCGGGCCTTTTCGCCCTGGCCGCCTTCGACTCGGCCAGCTGTTGCTCAGCCGCCTCTGGATCGCCAGACCGGGCGAAATACCTCGCCGTGGCCGTCGAGTACCAGACCCATGCGCTCAACAGCTTCCGCCGTCGGCTCCAGCAGCACCAAGGAATCTCCGACAAGGAAACCTGCGAGGTGTTGCTGTGCTTTTCTCTCATGCTCATGGTGCTCGCGCTGGCGTCGTCGCAGTTCATGGTTGAGTTGGCCTGTGGCTCTCAAGGCGGCGGTGGCGGCGATGACGACGACAGTATGGTGCTCAACACGCTGACGCACTTTGAGCTGCTGCGCGGATGCAGCACCGTTCTCGGCGACACGGCAGAGCAATACCTGGCCCAGAATTCCTACATACAGAAACTCATCCCTTTCGAGATGCTACCTCGATCGCCGTTGGACGACGACACGGCTGTTGCCCTGTCCCAACTGAAGACGGCCAATACGCGGAGAATCAACTCGACCGTGGACGAATGCTGCCAGCACCAGGTCCAGCACGCCGCACACTCTGAAGCGTGCAAGAAGGCCATCACCATGCTCGAGGAATGCTTCGCCAAATGTGTCGGCCAGGGCAAAGATCTCGACTATCAAGGCTACGTGTTGGGCTGGCTGAATATGGCCGGCGAGGACTATGTCTACGCCATCAGGGCTAATGATCACGTCGCGCTGCTGGTGTTGATGCACTGGGGCGCGCTGGTTGAGAGACTCGGCCGCCGCGTCTGGTGGGCCAGAGACTTTGGGAGGCTTCTGGTCGAGGAGATCTCTGCAAAGGCACTCCAGAGGCAGACGGCCGATGACTTGACCACGGATCTCATCGCTTCGGCGAGAAGGATAATGAATGGCCCCGCAGTGTGAGCGCGAGGCTGAGTGGCGCGATGGGTAAGGAGCAGACCCCCACACCTCGTCGCAAACGAGACTCGCCCAGGGACGGTGCCAAGACCCGAATACGATCACGAATACGATCACGAGGCTGGCAACAAACTGTGGACCTCCTTTTGATCAATAGTAGCGACAAGGCGGAAAAGCATCGCTTCGTTGTTTTCTCAAACCCTCGGTATGGTCTGCCTTTTTCCTCATAAAGATGCAAATCGCTCGATCCCATTGTCGAGGATTTCGGTCCATCAGCCATGCGTTGCGACCCGAATGAAAATTGACCAACTTCATCATGAGTGATACACAACCCTTAATAGTGCGCAAGCGGTCTACCTCACCAGACCCTCGCAGCCAGGATGGCTTTACCGGAAATGCCACTATTCAACCTCCTGCGCAAGAGGACTCTCTGCTTTCGAAACTACACTCTTTGGTGGCCGCACGCACGAAATTGCCCATCCTCGTCGGGCTGCTCCTGATATGTTTGCCTACTGTCTACCTCTATTCTCGCGAGACCAGTCGAGACCACCAAAAGCGAACCGACACCAGCATCCTCGTCTGGACCTTCATCCTGGGTGGCACCGTGGGCATAACCGTCGCCATGCTCGCGCAATCTGTCCTCGCCTACCTCCTCGCCGTGCTCTGCTTCAGCGGCCACACCAATGCGGTGGTGTATCTCGCCGAGACGGTCAAAACTGAAGACGACATCATAGACGAAGCTCACTGGAAGAGACGGCGGGAAATGTCCCATCGCCCGGCGTATTGGGTGTTTATGATGCTCTTCGCGTTCGTGGTTGCGGGCCTGGTGGAGGAGTCGATCAAGTACATTGCTATCACAACGATGCTTGGCTGGGCGCAGCGATCCTCCCACGGTGCCGGAGACGTCATCAATGACCGTGACTACATGACCGTTGCCGTTGCGGCGGCCTTGGGCTTCGCCACGGTGGAAAACATGACCTTCCTGGCCGGTGCTGCCCGCCAGCGCAAAGATAGCGGTGGTTCTGGTTCCTCTGCGGGAGGTGGTGCCATCGCTCTCCTGACGGCCGTGGAGAGAGCAGTGATAGGCACACCGGGACACTGCATGACCGCAGCGATGATCGGAGCCAACATGCTCGTGCGCGCACGCCACGATAGCCTTGGAAAAGGAGGACAACACAGCACTCTCGCCAGCATCCTCACCACCTGGTCGATCCTGCGCGATCCGGTCCTCTTCCACGGCTGCTTCAATTTTATGCTCTTCGCCGTCAGCGCCCTCGAGGGCAACGTCGGCTGGATCCATCCGCGGGGCTGGCGCACCGTGTGTTTCGTCCTCGTGGTCGCCGTGTCATTGCAGGCCACCCTGGCACTGGTGCTCAGGGCCAAGTTGCGCGAAGCGGGACTTTTGTGATGTCGATCTTGTTGACCTGTCACCTGCTCATCTGTCGCGCTGTCGCGCATTGATTGATATGGTTGAGCGCTACATCAACACTTTTTTATCTTCTTTTCCTCGAATTCTCTTTCTCTACCAGTTTTTTTTTTGGTGGCCGTCTTCTGCTGTCAGTGAGGGACCTAGTCCCGGTGGCTTTACTTCTTGCTATCTATGCACATACCCGGGTGTTCCTCCTTCTTCGTGTCAATGCATATATGTATTAACAGCTCGAAAATCAGCCTGCTGGGAAAATTCGCATTGATAGATTTGGATCGGATTGATGTGATTGGATAATGAACTGCGCGATTGCGCGAAACTCATCTCACTACTCATTCTCACTGACTCGGCACCAGGCACTTTTGGTTGTGAATCCGGGCTGAACGATAAGTGGGATCAAGGCTTTTTTGTATAGTACAAATATCATTCATGATATATGGCCTCGGGCAGCATACTCAGTCACTCACAAACTCAACTCACTCGGTACTACGCCCTGCGGCCCTCTTTGGGTAGGCACTGGTATACCATAGTCACGATGCCCTGCTTTCACGATACCCTGCTTCTGGCTGCGTGGACATATTCTCAAAAGCCTTGGATCGGCGATAGATATTATATGTTTCTCACTCCGGGATACGGACACATATATAAAACAGCAGATCGGGCATCGGCATCGACATCGACATCGACATCGTCGTCTATCATTGTCATCATCATCACAATTGATCCTCGTCGTCAGGGTCGGGCATGCCCTCTTCATAGCCCCAGTTCGCGCTATGGTTTTCTGTTCCTCCTGACACGGCGACATTCTTCTCGTGGATGGGGACTTGGTCGGACACGTGTTCCTCGTCATAGCCGTCGTCTTCGTCGCCGGGTGCTTCCTCATCCTCTTCGTCTCCTGCTTCGTCGCCCTCTTCGCCTTCGTCGCCTTCTTCATCTCCTTCTCCATCGTCTTCTTCGTCTTCTGTCACACTCACGTCCTCTGCTTCACTGCCGAGTTCTTCCTTGATCAGATCCCGTCCCTTCATCTTCTTTCTCTCCCGCTCATACTCTCGATCATACTCGTCGTCCGATTCGTCCGAAGCGCCACTACCTTCACTCTCCCCTTCACTTCCCGGATCGTAGTCTTCCTCTTCCTCGTCCTCTTCCTCATCAAGCTGTTGCTGGGCTTTTTCCAACTCGGTTCGGTCGTCTTCGTCACCTTCTGCATTGCCTCCATCACCGTTCTGTGTTGCACTCTTGCCGTTGGCCGTCGCATTGAGCTTCTTTGCTCGCCTCGACTCGGCAAGACTGGCATCCTGTAGACCATGCCGCTTAACGTAGGCGTCAATCCCCGGAAAATCAGCCTGATCCAACATGGCAAACTCGACCTCCTGAATTTCTTCACTGTTAGTCCCATCCACTAAGCTGGCTCGATAGGCGATGTTCAAATTGAATGTCCTCTGCAGCACGGACGTGTAAGAAATGCTTTCGACGTCTTCAAACGCAAAGAAAGAGAGTGGCTTCTTGAATCCAAAGAAAATGCCATTGCTCAAAAAGAAGAGGTATCCGTCCTTGCTCCCGCGGAAGGCTTTGACATGATACGCCTTATCGCCTTTTCGATGGGATTCGGGTTTGGCACTGGAGAATTCCTCCGCGGTAGGGAGTGTGAGGCTTTTCCCGCTCTTTTGCAGCAGATAACCCAGCGCGTTTTCGAGCACGTCATCAGGGCCAGGGGCGATTTTAGCAAGGTCACTGCTGGGGATGTGACACGACTTGAGCGGGCCGTCATTGACAACCCAGATGATGGCGTCGGTGTTGTTGTTCGAGTCTGGCTTCAGGAGTAACACAAAGTTGTATTGCTTCGCGGCCTTCTCAGGTACGGGCAGTCTCAGGGCGTAGGTGACCTGGTCCAGGGGCACTTCCATCTCCACCTCGTTGCTGGCAGGATTCCTGGTGTAGATGGCAAATTTTGTGTCCGTGCCGTTGATGTCGGCCCCATATTGCGCGATTCCCAGGTGTAGCTTTTTGCGTTGTGGTAGTGAGAATGAGATGTCTCTTGCTTCAAAGACCACCTCGCGCGGTTGATCATTTTTCTGCGCCGTCTGCGCGAGGGGAAGAGAGGAGCCGTCCGGGAGTTTGCGCTTCTTGGACGCGGGTTCGTCCTGTGCAGAGCCGTTCACTTGATGTGAATGGAGGTGGTAGGATGCAATGTCCTCGAAAAGGGGCGCATGCTGCGGAGTTGCGTCTGCGGCATCACATTAACAATGTACCTCCGTGGGATGGATCTCACACTGGACACTCACCGATGGCGTCAAAGATCCTCTTTCGTAGTTGCGAATTGTTAGCAAATGCTCGATTTATGGCATCGCGTCCTGACATCTTGGGCGGGCCTGAGAGGTTTCTACGAGGAGAAGCAATGGAATCTGGGAACTGGCTTTCTGGTTTATGGAGGTGGTTTAATAACATGCAGGCAGAGAACAGTCCAGCGATGATGCAATTGGCTCCTCGCGCCCCTGTGGCCCCTGACCGCGTTTCCGCCACTCAACGATAGACCAACCCACCTCGCACGCCTATTGCTCCTCCAAACGTTCGCATGGAACATGGTCAACTGCAATCAATGGCTACCCAGTGACTCCAATCGGTAATCCATCACAAGCAATTTTCTCCGTTTCAACAAAAATTCTATGCCTTTAGACATATTCCGCCGCATCGAATTTCTCCTTGGACCAGAATTTGGCCTTGATGGGATTGCCGTTAAAGATTCTCCCTTCCAAAGCATTGACTGCCCGCAGAGCACTGAGCTGGCTCACAAACTGTACAAACACCAATGCCTCGCCCTCTTCACTTTCTGGTCGATGGATGTAGACTCTCTCGACACTACCGTATTTGTCTCCACATTCCTCCCCAATTTCTTGCAGCAGACCGCCCTCTCCCTGAGTGAGTTCGTCGTCGAGATCTAGGCCGTTCAACATGCCCTCAAGGCGAATCACTTCAGACATTGCTCCAAACTTGCCTTCTTCCTCGACAAGGGCAGTCTTTGATTTGTTACCACCGAGAATCTTACCGGTACTTGTCGGAGTAGCAAAGCCACCACCTTCTGCATCCGATTTCTTCTTGCGTTTGTCGGCCTTCGCATATAAGGGGTTGATGATCCCAGTGCCGTGAGCTCCGAGGCCTTGACCCTTGCTCCAGCCGTATTTCGCCATCAGACGTTCAGCAAATCCCACTTGCCCAGGACGTTTGGATCGTGGTTCGTCATCATCGCCATTTTCATCAACACCTGCTTCAGGTTCGGCAACATCATGTCCCTGGTTTGGTCCAGATGCTGAAAGGTCTTCTGGTGCAGTGGGTAAGGTATACCGTACTGGTGCCCTGGAAATCTGACCAGGTTGTGGGATGTCTGCTGGAGGCGAAGGAACAACTGGCGGCTGGCCTTGACTCATGCGCATTCGTCTCAGATACGCGTCTTCCCCAGTTGTATCGTCCGGAATCTCGACAGGTGGTGGCGGTGGAGGAGGGCTGTCGTCATTCAGGTTAGGTGGAGGAGCAAAAGACATGGAAGGCGGAGCGAATTGTTCTGCCACAATATCAGTAAGTTCCAAACCCGTCCAAACCCTCTTTCCTTACTGTTCATGGGGCGATGGTAGTCATCGTCTTCGGAGTCACTATAACTCCTCTGCCTTATGCGGTGTCTGTAGAGGAGGTCCTTCCACTCCCTGACTTCGCGGATCTTCTCCTCGCTGTGCTTGTATTCTTCGTAATTGTTGGGTCTGCTCGGATCGTAGATGTCGTCCCAATTCTGAGTCACTTCTGCTGCTGCCTTGTTCTTTTTGCGTTTCTTACGACCTCCTCGCTGGCGCTTCCCAGCGTAGAAATTGTTCACGTCATCGTCGTCCGACGCCGTAGCTGTCCAGTCCGCAAGAGTGGTCTTGGGCGCAGGTGGTTGCGGCACTGAAGTTTCTGTGGCAGCACTTGCGGCGCCTTCGACTGTGGAGGTTGTAGTACTGGCCGCTGGAGGGACACCGAATTTACTGGCGATGGCTTTTGCTTTTGCCTTTTGCGCAGCGATCTGGGGTCTCTTGGTAGGTTGGAATCTTAGGGAGGCTGTAAATCACGCGAGAGCATGGCGCAAAAACGTGAGCAGATCTATTCAGCAAACCTCTAGGTTCTTACGACGAAGAATGTACCAGCGAGTGCTTGCTGTCGCTTGACAGCCTCATCCTGTTCGGGAGAGCTTTCGACCGGCTTGTAGGAGACCGGTGCACTGGAGATGGTGCCAGGGCCAGCATTATTCGGGTCAAGGAGGTTCGCATAGAGCGACAAGCCTCCCCGCGTGGGTGTCGGCGCATTGTTGGACATGTTCTCACATGTGCTTTTGCTTAGACCAAGGTGGGTTGGAGCGCGAGGTGCGGCGACTTAGAAAGTGATTTCCACGGAGAGTCTAAACTGCGGTCTCGTGATTGGGACACCGACGGGCAGTTCTCGGGGGAAGGGAAGTGACTTAGCCTGCAGAAGGCCCCCCGGTTCTAGGCACTCTTGGCCCCTATTGGTAATCTCTGGTGCCCTAATAAATTCTGGACCTGGTAGCCCTGCTTGCATCGGAAGCCGCTTGCCATGGGGCCGTTCGATTTACCAATCGCTTGACTTCGGGCGCATCTGTGGATTTTCGTGTCGTGTCATATTCGGATGACTTCAATCTCTCCAAGCTGAATTCAAAGCTCCCGCTACCATCTCCATGGACTTATCGTATCACCCGATATACTTGAACAGTCAAGCCTTGTGGCCCACACGCCATTTCTATGGTTCCCGGTGAGATACTAATATCGAGATGGATCCCGTTTGCCATGCTGGTCTTCTTATCTGTCGACGTCGCAGGGCATCACGTCATTTTCATGTTTCAGACTCTTTTTTTCTGCTGCCTTTTCTCGAGTACAGCTTGAATAGGAGGAGACTGGCATTTTAATTGAGATACCCATATTGTTGTGTTGTCCCGTCTCTGTCTCATTCCTTTGAATCTCTTTTCTCCCGCAGTCTTTATCACATTCCGCACAGCCATGGTCGCATCCACTCTGTCCACCTCTTTCCCTCAGTCGTCTTCCGCCATAGCAGTCATTGTGCCTACAAAACCCACTGCTTTGACTGTCTCTTTTGAGCAACTGGCACAGGATGTGTTGGCTTTTCAGAAACAACTTGCTCATCTAGGTATCCGATATGCCGACGCCGTCTCAATAGCCTTGCCCAACAGCTACGAATTTATCGTTTCTTTTCTTGCAACCTCTTTCCAACGAGCAATTGCGGCCCCTCTGAATCCTGCCTACAAGCAAAGCGAGTTCGAATTCTACATTGACGATCTTTCTTCAGCCGTGATTATATTGCCTCGAGGAGCACATGCCCGGGACGGACCTGCTGTGAAAGCGGCCAGGAAACATCGCGCTGCCATTGCAGAATGCTACGTGGATGGAACGAAATTGGTCTTGGATGTGAAAGAGCAGGGCTGCCTGGCACAAAGACAATCTCAACCAGTCGCCGAGGCTCAACCAGAAGATGTCGCACTCGTTTTGCACACCAGTGGGACCACCGGGCGCCCGAAGGCTGTCCCATTGACCCATCGCAATCTGACAAGAACAATGCAGAACATTCAAAACACCTACGAGCTTACTGCTCAGGATCGGACGATGTTGGTTATGCCACTCTTTCATGTGCACGGTCTGTTGGCTGGGTTTCTGTCTCCCCTGAGCGCTGGGGGATCTGCTATTGTTCCGGATCATTTTTCTGCACGATCCTTCTGGGCCGACTTTATTCAACACAAAGCCAACTGGTATACAGCCGTGCCGACGATTCATCAAATTCTGTTAAAGAACCCTGCACCTAACCCGATACCCAAGATCAGATTCATCCGCTCGTGTTCATCGGCACTGTCCCCGAAAACATTTATGGAACTTGAACGGACATATCAGGCACCAGTTCTTGAAGCCTATGCCATGACAGAAGCAGCTCACCAGATGTGTTCGAACCAGCTGCCACATCGCGGAAAGCGAAAGCCCGGCAGTGTGGGAATTGGCCAGGGAGTCGAAGTCAAAATTCTCGACGAGCAAGGCGATGAAGTCCCCCGGGGCCTGGAAGCCGAAATCTGTGTAAGGGGAGAGAATGTCACGAAAGGATACATCAATAATGAAAAGGCTACCAAAGAAGCATTCACCAAGGGGGGATTCTTCCGCACCGGAGATCAGGGCAAGATGGATGAAGATGGCTACGTCTTCATCACCGGCAGGATCAAAGAGCTGATCAACAGAGGGGGGGAGAAGATCAGCCCGATCGAGCTGGATCATGTGATCATTGCCAATCCAGACGTGGCAGACGGTGTCACTTTTGCTATTCCTTCAGAATTATACGGCCAAGAAGTGGGAGTGGCAGTTGTTCCTAAACCTGGGAAGACGGTGACTGAGAAGGGCATTACTGATTACGTTGCCAGCAAGACGGCCAAGTTCAAGAAGCCGAGCAGGGTATGTGCATTCTATCTGGCAGGTGCATCTTAGTGCCGCGCTGACTGAGATGACAGGTTTGGATCTTGAAAGAGATTCCCAAGACAGCCACGGGAAAGATACAACGAAGGAAGGTTGCAGATACTCTTCTGGCCAAAGACCAGCCTAGAGCGATGCTATAGAAGGATTGTTCGGGTCCGACCGGAGGCGTCGATGCCTGACAGTACAGGAAGAAGCATGGATATCCAGCATGGCGTTTTCAAAAAAAGAGGAGAAAGACAAGCATGAGCGGCTAGAGTCAACCATGTGGGAGTCGAGGCCGTGTCGCACGCCTCCTAAGAATTTTCGTAGGCCGATACCATGATGGGTGAATGTTTTCGCGAATTCTTGGAAAGGGGCTGACAACTGAGGGACTGGGGAAATGCGAGATGAAGCTGCACCTCGGTCTTGGACATCCGGAGCACTGGATGTCAGGGTATCTCTCGAAGGGTACGGTTCCGATGCAAGATGAGTCGAGGCAGTCAACTGAAGCATGGGAGGAGCTAGACCTCGCACAAAGATAGAGATAGAGCTTGAGAAGGCTGAAGGTTCCTGCTCCCCACAAATTGGCGACGCCCTAAGAGCATGTTCACATCCCCACTTCGCGCCCTGCGCTGTGGAGAAGAGTTCGACCGGCATTCAATCCTGGACAGCGATAATTGCCCCGGCTGTCCTCAGTCTCGCAGCGTGTGGTGCTTGGTCATACAATATTTGATTCCGTATCAACCAGTATCCTGACTCCGGAGCTTCATGTCGAAACTGCTTCGTGGTTACCGTCAGCTGCACTCTCTGAGAAGTGTTCACACAACACCCTCCCAGTTCCCGCAATTAACTCGACCTCCACATCTGGGTCCATTAATTGCTCCGCGAAACCTCCGATCTGTCAGAGCCATGTCTTCCTCGGCGACCCCTACGAACGAATGGCTGGTCATTGTTCCCGATCACCCTAACGCCCTTGACAAACGACTGGCGGTCCGCCCGCAGCATCTTTCAGCGCTGACACCCAAGATCGAGGCGGGGATTGTGGTCTTTGGCGGTGCGACTCTTTCGAAACACCCCGCGGAGGGAGAGACTCCGGATATGACTGGCAGTGCCATGTTAATAAAGGCGAATACCGAGCAAGAAGTCAAGGAGTTCTTGGAGAACGATGCGTACACAAAGGGAGGAGCGTGGGATGTGAGCAAGGCACAGATATTCCCGTTCAGGTGTGCCGTGCGGACGGCCATGTGAAGATACAGCTTTAGACGAGGGTCTAGCAAGGGAATTGCCATTGGGACTGCGATGAACGATCAAGAACGAAGCCACAAAGCTTGAATGACTCGGCAGGAATGTGCCCATAAACGCTGCTGTATCGACCAGTACTACATGGGACGAACCCTATGGGCCTCGTTGTCAACCCTCTCCCACACTTTCTCTCTCTCTCAGTTGCAGCTTGAATGATGAGTGATGTGCACAGGCAACCGGACCGAGTTGTGTGACTTGAGAGCGGCATCTCTCACACACTACCGTTGATCTGTCACTTCGCATCTCCTTGTTATATTACTTCTCTCTTGCTCACAAGTCCATGGTGATATTCGTTCAGTCCGACTGGGATGAATGTCATGATTGCTACATGAGTGGTTCCCCGATGTTTCCAAGGGACAAATGGTATTTGGAGTGACATTTGCAAGTTGCCTGCGCACCAGATTCCTGCCGGTTGCTGGGTCAAAACGCCTCTTCACTTTGTTCCCGTCTCACTTCAGCTCTGTATCAACCCAACCCTGTGACCAGAGACCATAAAGACGCGATTCTTCTCCCGTCTTTTCCACGATCATCTATCCATCCATCCTCACGTTTCTTGCCACGTCCTCTGCCGCCGACACTCGCATCTCGAAAGCTTCGAGCTAACCTAGCTGAAGTGATTCATCAAAGACACCCGCAGCCAACACACTTCTTTACCACTGCTCTCAGCCTCGTGCGATCCAACATGATGGATCTCTTCAACATGCTCTTCCCCTTCTTCATCCTCGTCCTTCCTGCTATTGCACAAGAGATGGGCAACGTCACCGACGCCCCAGTTACTCAAAACAACCCCTTCCGCGCAACCTTCCAAGCGATCCTGCAAGTCGGGAAACCTGTACAAGGCCAGATCACCGGGGTTTCTAGCGATAACGGCACTGGTGTCAATTTCAATGTCAACTTCTTTGACTTTCCAGATATCTTGCAGGGCCCTTTCAGTGAGTTCTCACAGAGCGTGACTTGGCAATCCCAAGTTCCTCTGCGTTGAATATGACGACTAAAACCTTCCATTCAGAATACCACATCCACCAATACCCGGTGCCTGCGTCAGGAAACTGCACCGCCACCGGTGGCCACCTCTCGCCCTTTGGCAGACAGGACGACCCTCCCTGCGATGCCACCGCCCCGTGGACCTGCCAGCCCGGCGACCTCTCCGGCAAGCACGGCAATATCTCCCAACTGACCTCCTCCACCTCCGGTGACTCTCAGGCCGTCGGCACCTTCCAAGCCATGTACCTCGACCTGTACGTGAGCACCGACCCCAGCAACGTGGCGTTCTTCGGGAATCGCAGTGTGGTCGTGCATAGCGCGAACGGGACGAGGTTGAATTGCGGCAATTTCACACAGATGAGCTCCGGCTCGAGTGGCGGCGGGAATAACAATGGGACCAACACTACGGTGCCGACAACTTTGCCCACGAACAACGTTGCGGCTGGAGCGGTTGGTGCGGTGAAGTGGGAATTGGCGACCGCCACGGTGTTTGCGGTCGGTGTGTCTCTTGTCTCCTTGATGGGTGACTTGATTTGAGGGCTACAGACAAGAGAAACAGCCAAGGGCGGA